TTACCTGAAAAAAATACTCAACTCTTCAATTCAAAATGAGAGAAGCCTTTTAGGGGACTAGAAATAGAGATGGAACAAATTCCAATTATTTTGACAAATCAAGAGCCAACACACAGGAACAAATTTGCAAGGATACCCAATACCTTGGAAACGAATGCACATTTAGTTTTTCAGGCAGATAATGGAGCAGCGAAAGTGATAATGGACAAAAAAACAATGCACCGAGAAGATGGAATATATTCTACGGGACGGGACAACATGTATGCTAAACAAGGACCTAACTATGAAGATCAATTGAATCTTAAGTGACATGCTTAAAGTTATGTTTAGTAACGGCGAAATTGAGCGTGGACAAGAAATTCAATCATGAGAAAGGATTCACGACCACCAACAACCTACGGATTACCGAAGATACACAAAGAAGCTGAGTCACTAAGGCTGATAGTCAACAACAAGTATGGCGCAACACACAAATTGGCAAAATGCATATGTTTGAAACTCGAAATTAAATGAGAGGTTATCAAACACGGTTTATCATTCATACGAATTTTCTCAAAAAATCAAAAACATAACACTAGCAGAAACAGACTTATTGGTAACTTTTGATGTGGACTCCATGTATACAAATATCTCTGGAGAAAATGCGCTAGCAGCTATACTGGAAATCTTGGACCGAAAGGAGGATATCCTGCAATCACAACGGATCAAAATAGATTCGTTAACAAGATTAATCAACTTTACAATAGGGACAACCTATATTACATTCAGCGGGCCCATCTATGAACAAATATTTGTACTTCCGATGTGATCGCCGCTCACCACTTTTGATAAACGTATATATGAACTAAATAGAACAGAACTTCAAGATATTACCACTATAACCAGCAGTACTCATGTGGTACCTGGATGATTACTTCGCGATTTGGTAACATGGAAGAGATAAACTGGAAGATTTTCTGAAGTTTATAAACCAGATTAATAAAAAAAATTAAATCCACGATGGAAGTAGAGAAAGGTGAGCGTGACAGTTCCTGGATGTTGAAGTGTATCGCTATAATGGACGCTCAAAAAGAATTTGTTCCGAAAGAAGCCTTATGGCGGGCTAATACTCCATTTCCAGTCCAATAACAATTACAGACTAAAGGAATAATGAAGAGCATGATCATCCTAAGCCTATGCTTAACGGATGTGGAATTCTGGGACAAGGAGTTGGACAAATTTACTAGGATATGCTTCGTCCTCGATCTGCCATCGCCTTTTTACGGACCGGTTGTTTCTTTGTATTATTTAGATTGGGTAGCAGTTGCCTATGCATATCCTAGTCAATTTGTCAAAGTCCCTGTCCCAGAATTCCACATCCGTTAAGCGCAGGCTTCGGATGATCATGCTCTTCATTATTCCTATCTCTACGCGATTGTTTCGGGATTGAGAGGAAATTATGATAAGTTTAATACTTTCTTCCATCTATTGAACATGAGATCGAAGGATGGGAGAATTATCGCTAATTTTGCCTACTGCTTAAGAAAACTCAGGGAAAACACGAATACAGCAATACCAGCAAAGCGGAGACGCATCGATCAAGGATCTTTAGCTATCAGGAGGAAAAGGGATCGTAATACGAAATTTAGGGTGTGGCAGGGATTTTCGCCAATCAATCGAAGAGGTTGTCAGTGCGTGATGTCTGTTCAAATTAACCAGTACAACTTTTCGGGCCTAGCAGTCAGGGAGCTAGGAAAACGGATAAACATACTGTCACAGATATTCCTCGTTATGACCAAAATGCTATAGAAATCTATTTGTGATGCCGCATGAGACCAGAGATAGGTATCCATAGTTTGCTCAGGTAACACGGTTTAACCAATGAGACGACTCTTGAAGGCAACGCCTGATATCTACAAGTCTGGGAGTCAGAGCCTAGGCGCTCTGCTCGGTGAGGTGGCAGTGTACATGCTTCTAAGGCCTTGAGAAATAGTGCATGGAGTAAAAGGCACATTGCGATTGGAACCGAGTGAAACCGCTCAAACAGAAAGATAACGAACGGATCTACGGGTTATGAAAGAGATCCGTGTTGGAGGCCCGAGACGAATTAGCCGATCGAAAGATAGGTATTATAAAATCATAAAAAATTGGCCAAAAAAAGGGCACATTTTGGCAAGTGGAATGTAGACAAGTGAGAAGTTGTGATAGGGCAAGAGTTGGATAAGAGGGTAAATAGTAAATAGATGTGTCAGGACAGAAAGAGGAGTGATAATGTAATCGTTTTAGGCAGAATGTTGGTTATGGGATTAACTTCACTTGTCTCTGACGGGTTTGTAGCTTGCTACAGAGAATGGCAAGACTCACTGCTGAATCCGATTACGATACCAGTGAAACGTCTCAGAATGTACCAATTTCAAGGTCTGATCCTGGGAATTATAATAATTATTATGGCCGAGAAATTCGGACAAATTGCGTTCTACTAAGTTTCCCTGACGAAAAGACGAAGTTTCAAAAACGAGGTCAACCCTCTTCTATAAATCGAAAGGAGACTGAGACCATATCAAAGGTCACACCATCTTAGTTTTCAAATCTTCTAATTATTTACTTAGATAATCTCATTACACTCATCGAGACTTGTTCGTTTATTCTATTTAAGTTTATCTTTTTTCGTATTTCATTCCCAGCTCTCTTCTCACCTGAGTACTACGTTGCCTGTTATTTCATACAAACCACTGAAGTGTGGAGTTAAGATATTTTCCGTTTATTTATATTTTTTTATTTGTGACAAGGTATTAATTATGTGCACTCAGCCTTGCATGTCTTTTTATTCTTGCTGACTACTTTGCTGTGACGTATCAAGACCACCAATTTTTATAACTGCATTCGATAGTGTTTTTCAATTTTGTTTTCGCAACTTAGTTTCAGCGTGAAGGAAACGTTGTGGGAAATACCTACCCTCTCCTACCTGCCATAGTATTCGTCATTTAAACTAGTGGACCATTGTCTTGGAAACGCATATCCAGAAGGAGCAATACAACGCAGCATACGGATGGTGATGAGCAGATCGAGGGATGGAGGTTATGAAAGGAAAGCAAGTAGAGCAGAGGAATAACTATAGATATGTCTACCCTCCTGCGAATTGGCTCAGAAGCTTTGACAATACTATGGAAATGCAGCATTCTTACAATCTTGACTGAAAGGACAATCCTCTTCACCAGTTTGCCCACACAGCATTAAGAAGTTAGCAAAATGGAGGGCTCCGGAGTTTACACCATAAACTGCAAGGACTGTAAACAAAAATACACAGAATTGTATGAATAAGTGGATAGGCCATATGGAGTAAGGTTGAGAGAAAGAGATGCGGCACCAGAAGGTAGAACAAAAAATAGGGGCAAGGAGTTATGCCACAACAGTAGAACAGAAAATTAGTCAAGGGGATTTCCTTCCTTTGGTACGTTGAGAAATTGTAATTCCCTTATTACGATGGCGCATCTCACTGACGAAGCCGGCGAAACGTTTGGGAATGTACCCAGCCAATGGTGCAGTGCTGGAAATTACGAATACTATGGCAGAGGACACGAGACTAAGTAAGTTCAATAAGGTCGCCCTCACTCTCCGACCAAGTTGCGAAGACAAATTCGAACCAATACTCTAAAGCTAAGGGCGACTTCAACTAAACATGAGGCCATACCATCTTGGTCTTCATATCTATGCATTCGATAGTCTATCTTATTTATTCGCTTGTGAATGACAAGGTCTTCGAAGCATATGCCTTAAGGACGAACATCTTAATTTATCAGAGGTTAGATTCATCGCTATTACACGCCACCCTACTGGAGTTTGGTACAATCTTGTATTTTACCTGCTGCGAACGTTGCAATAGCTTCGCTCACCCATAACAAAATTCGATTACCAAACATAAAACCTTTGGTGCTAGGTATGCATATCAAAAGATATGAAGCGAATATGCTTTATATTTTTACTTGGACTTATTATATTATCATTTAACTGATACTTTGCATCTTGTTTCGGATTGCATTATAATTTTTAGAATCTATTCTGACCTTAAGCCCTTGTAAGGAAGCTAATATCTTATAAGTAAATTTATAATCAAGTTACTATGTTCTTTATTTTTTCATGCTTTACTTTCTCTTCCTATCACCACCATACCAGTTCTTCAAATTATGGGCTTCCAAAACGATGCTACATCTCAGTTTGCAAACGCGACACATTCAAATGTTTTTCCCACCAAGCACATTGGACAGCCGAGCTCCTTGGCCACTGTCTCAATGACTTCAGGATCTAGTACTATAGGACGTCGTTTTGGCCGTCAGTCTATTATCCCTGCAGGTGGTTATGGCCCTCATGCCAACCTAGCTAAGCAACCAACCATGCACGGATTTGCTCTTCAAACAGCACCTAGCTATTCTATCCCGTTGGGAGCTGCAACTACCAGCCGTCTTGGATGCCAGGGATTGATGGCGATCTATGGAGCAGGCGGAAGTATTGGCCCGGGGACCTTTGGACGACCTACTTTACCTGCCATCTGGGGCCTGTCTTTGTCACCACCTTGTTCTGGAGTCCCTGGTCCAGATGAAGAACTTGCAGGTATGAAATATTTATCTAGACTTCCTCTCATTTTTGTGGATTTTCTGCCTGATTTTAAATATAGTCGGCTAATTGATACCTTATTTTGTTCACTTTCATCCTACCACTACGATATTTTCACAATTCCGCTATGTACTCACTCATACACCAATGCTTGAATGTATTCATCTTGGTTATTCTGTCGAAACAACTTCAGCCTTGGGACTTGTGGATGGCTATGGAAGCATTTCCAAGCATAAACATATTAGATCACGAGGTCTGCGTACTATCGACTTCACAGGTTCTGGAACCCTTTCTAGCGGTATCAAGCATCGTTCAGCACTGCATGCTGCACTTGCACAGGAAGCTACCTTATTAGTAGGCAGAGATAATCCTAATATGTTGCCTCAAGCTCCACATTCCATAGCCCGCGTCAGTCCTACTCCTGGGGCTTGGCCTTCTTGTACTTCGCCTACTGGAACTATTTTATCCTCGACGGCAGCTAATCTTCCGATGGACCTCATTTCCCATCCCTATGATCAGTGCCCTCCCAACCTGGCCAAAGAGAACGGGTTCCTGGGCCATCATACTTCGACTTCCGACATACCTATCCCTTCTATCTCTGTATCGTCAGGAAAGACCTCGAGAGAGGATACTGGGAGTGGTTCACTGAAGGCTACTCTTAAGCGTGTGAAACGACATCAGCAGAAGCTCTTACGCAAGGCAAGCATGGGATTTGCCGACGCTGGAGATCGAGGGGACAAGGAGGCAAGTGTGGTTACAAATATGAAATAATCACAACTAGACACAATTATATTTTATATAGTAGTTGTTTGACCTATTTTCGCAATTTAATCATATTGGCGGGAAGACCTAGAATAGCGCATCTAATCCGGAGTCCATAGTTTGCCTGACCGTACATGCAGAGTCGGACCGTGAACTTGGTACATTCCCAGACGTTTCGCTTAGCATCATCAGTTTGTCTTGCTATTCTTAGCTTCATACTACAGCTCGTTAAAGAGACAAGTGAAGCCGATTATTTTACCAATTGTCTGCTCAATAATCACTTCAGGCCGTTTATGATGATGAAGGGCTAACTGAATTTTCCCACAATAAGCTGGATAGGCCTTACGATAACATTGAATTTCACTTAACCTTGCTTCCAAAAGATATTCTTATTTAAGGTAGACTGCAGTTTCGACCTCACCTAGGTCTATTTAGTTCTTATTGGAACCGAAGCAGAATGCCTTGAATAATGCGTCACTCCTAAGCTTCACGTTAAGTTGACCAAATCAAGCTAAGATGTATAGCCTATCGTTTTGTTTGAGAGTGACATACAACTATCTTGACCATAAACTATCAAATTGAATGACATATCAGGTTTCTCGAAACTGTTTTTGTTTACTTAATGGCAATCTTGTTATTCTATTCATGATTTTTATATTGCTTTCTTTTTCCATGATTAATGAGGATTTTCAAGTATGGCATTTAATGAAAATTCTTCTCTGGTTCGTGATGCTATAACCCTGTATGATCTCAAAAAAAGGGCGAACTATTATGCAATTGTAGGGTAAGAATAGTACTTGATGAGGCATTGAAGCTTTCTTTGGTTTTATATATTTTCGGGAGCTTTTAGATCGCTCGTCTACTTCGAGTCCATCTTGAGTTATTTGTTTATTTAATTTATTGTAGGATTTTTCGATACATCGCAGGAAACACTTTAAAAAGACTATAAGCCAAGAATTCGCAATTAACTCAGTAGGACACCAAATTCTATAGGATTAAACACAAAGTAATGCTTGAAAATCCATTTCTCATAAACAAGATGACGAACATCTTAGATCAGAATAGTGAATATAGGAAACTGAATTTAAAACTCTATTTTATTTGTAAAAAACTTGGTTTCGAAGAATCCCTTAATAGATTGTTGTTGAAGTACCTTTTATTTCGTTTGAAGAGGCGAGTGGAAGGGATTCGTAAGTTCGTTTACTTCAAGAACAATGCACTCATACAACACGTGTGCAATAGATGCAATCGCATGGGGTAACATTGCAGGATTAAAGGCATGAGTGTTTTAGGAGAAGATGCGGCTGTTCGGTTTCAATTGCACACAATTCACGCTTCATCGTCAGTTACTTCACATGTCATCCGCAGCCACTTAACTTATCTCGTGAGCAAACATATAGACAAAGCATAGGGCATCCGGCCAAAACATGAAATGCGTAAGTGAACGAAATTATACTATAAGAGGGAAGTAGGTTTGAAGCCGGCCACCTTTCTTGCCTTCGTTTTTTGGGTGTATTATCGTTAACCATAGTGCTTTGCTATGAAGATGTCTGTCACATGACGTACGAAAGCTCAGCAAGGATTCATCGGGGTCGCACTGCGGTGCGCAGATGACCTATTCGAACAAATCTACAACTACAGCTCCAAAGCAACCCTCCCATAGCCTCCGGTGGAAGCAACTTACGAATCCCTTCTACTTGCCTCTTCAAACGAAACGAAAGATACTCCAACACTAGAACCAAGAAGGCTCGGCAAGTCAACCATATTCGTTTTTTGAAGTTATTTTTTTCACGTAGGTTTATTCCTATCTTTTGTATTATTGATAGACCAAATTTGCCAAATAGGACTAACCGAGTCCTTCAGAGGGCATCCTAGGATTTAGTTAATATTTAGAACCCAAGAAAACATAAAATTACACTCTTTGATAAGGAGGAAAACCAGATTACGCCAATTACTGGCGAGCACTCTTGGCTCGGTTTATTTTTCTAATTACAAAGAATGGTGTACAGGTTGTATGATATTGTTTTCTAACAGGTTTGATACAGACATGATAAGAAAGTTAGGAAATTAGGTTTAGGAATCAGGACAAAGGTTAATTAAAATACGTCTATGAGA